TAAGTTACAGCAAAGATTTGGTTTGTGCAATATTTATTATTTTAAGTGATTTGTGATTTGAATGAGGCTGTTTGCTCCACCTGCTGAGCTGTCAGGCTGCCAACCAACCCAGTCTTCAAAGAGCAGAAGCTGTGATATGAGCTACGTCTGTGTGAGCAGTGGTGCTGAGTTTGAGTTCGAGGACCTTTTTGAACAACGCTGACTGTCAGTTTGAAACAGGAAATGAGTTTTATGAGTCTCAGCTGATACATCAACCCATCCACCTACCCCAACCTCCTCCCACTGCCAGCTCTGTGGCTCTACATTCACGTCAGCGATCCTCCTCCTGCTTCACCATCATAGTTACAACAGCCAACACAGCAGAGGTTGGAGCATAGATCACAAACGTACCCTCAGTGTCAGCAGGTGATACATGAACCAAACTAAAACAACGTGTGTGTTTGTGTTTGCTGGTAGCGGAGAGACAAAGGACGAAAATGCAAACTTCACACAGATCCAGTGAGCAGCAGGTCAGTGTCATTAAAGAAGGTCACCGGCTGCTTTTCTCTGTTTAATCGTTCTTATTTTAATATCAAAGGACGATACCATGTTGAGCTGAGGAATCAGTACATCCAAGGATTTTATGGAAACTGTTAACAAATTCAATAAATAACAGAAATGAAAACAATCACAGCTGGAGTTACACGGTACTGACAATAGATCAAGCCATTCCTTAAGTCATAAATAAACATTCAATATTCATACAGACCTTTTTTTTTTTTTTTTTTTTTTTCAAAAAACAAAGAAATCAACTATTTGTCTATTATGTGGTTTAAAACAGCATTCAGATTAGAGAGCTAGAACATAGAAGTATGTACAGTTTCTGGTAGATATTCACATTCTATCAAAATAATCCGTTGAAATTAAAGCCTTCAAATGTCGTAGTAAAAAGAGGAGAGCAGGTCTGAATGCGTTCAGTCTGCAGTTCATCCACACCGACACGTCTCTGCTCCGTGTGCTCGTCACCGTGAGTCCGTCAGGTGTGCACCTACAGGTGTGTGCTGTAGAAGGCGGGTGCAGCGTAACTCTGTGTCCCCAGCATGAACGGAGACAGGACGTGGCTGGCGGTGAGGAAAGGCAGCTGGACCAGGCTCCCGGTGGGGGGGTGATGGTGGCTGGCGTAGCCGGCGTGCATGGCCAGGTGCCCGCTGACCGGAGGGGATGGGCTGAGAGGGCTGAGGCCCCCCAGGCCCCCTGCTCCTCCACCGGCACCGCCCCCGCCTCCTGCACCTCCCGCGCCAGTGGGGGCGGACGTGTCAGCTCCGGGGTTCTGTTTCTTCCACTTGGTCCGGCGGTTCTGGAACCAGATCTTGACCTGGGTCTCAGTGAGTGAGAGGGACAGAGCCAGGTTGAGCCGCTCGCACACTGACAGGTAGCGCGTGGACTTGAACTTGTTCTCCAGCGCCACCAGCTGCTCGTAGGTGAAGGCAGTCCGGGCTCTACGAGGCTTCCCTGACTTGGAGTCTGAGCCGGAGCGTTTCCTCTTGGGCTTGGCCCCCTGCCCCCCATTGGTCTGGGCGCTGCTGATCTGGCCTGCGGAGCCTCCATTGGGGCTCTTGGTGTCCCTGCTGGTGTCCTGGTGGCTGTGCTGGCCCAGCTCTCTGTCTCCGTTGCTGGGAAGAGCTGAGCTGCTCTCCTCGCTACTGTAGGGCCCGTCTGGAGGCTCCGAGTCCGGGGTCCCAGATCTGTGGTAGTCGTCTTCATCTGGACTTCTGTACACAAAGCCTTCCTCTGGAAACACACAGCACAAAGAGAAAGCCATTAGCTCCATGAAGCAAGAGTCTGTTGACAGCCAGCCAACAAGTCCTCACACCAAACTGACCATCCAGGGATCTGCTGCTGCCTTCTAATGCATCTTATAGCAGCACAGGAGCCCTGATGGACTGTCAACAACCACAGTGGGACAACGCATGGCATGTCTGGGTCAAGTGTTGGTACAAAAACAGCTCGGTTCAGTTTAGGGAGAGATTGTGGTTTGGTTCAAAATGGCCACGGTTACAATAACAAGCAGACAGTTAAGAGCATGGAAACGTCATGGTGAAAGTAAAGACTGTTCCTGTTGGTCTGACACTGAAAACAAACGGCAGCGTCTGGCCTTAAAGCGTTCTGTTGACCCATCCATCGAACCAGAGCTCCTCCCTGTGCTGATGTGGTGACTCTGTAATGCCAGTCATTATAAATACAGCCACCAGGGGTCGTCCAACAATAAAAGGCAGTGTTGAAATCATGTTTTTAATTTAATGTAATTTTTTTATGGGAGGACAGCAAAGAGATAAAACATCCAGTGTGTGTTAACTGACTTCCTTCTCATGACCAACGAATAACCAACAAACTACTTTAAATGAAATCTATCCTGAAGCAGCACATGTTCATGAAGACACTTTTCTCCTCAAAACCAGAGAAGGGCCAAAAGGAGCTGCCTTGTCTTTCTCAGCTCAGTCAGAATTTATAACATTTATCACATTTAGCATATCCATAATGTTTCCCAGACTGGTGGAGGGTAAGTTCATCTGTGACAATGTGAGCAAAGTCTAAATGTACAACGTGAACCATGTTAAGTTTTAAAAAAAAATCTACAGAAGTTGTTAAAGGCATTGAATGTAGATTTTGGAACAGAACACTTAGAAAACAGCGCCTCTAGAACAAAGTCCTGCCGTGACAACACACTGCATTCAGACCAGCTGCTCAGCATATGTGAAGGAAAAGTAAAGTGAGAACGGAAACATATTGCTGCACGAAAAGTGTGCCGAAATCCTAATAGCAGCGTCGGATCATAGCAGACTGAAACATTATCCAAACCAGCACACACACAAAAAAAAGAGGCTGGAAGCTAAAATCAGTGGGACACTTGCCTGCCTCCTAAATGTCTAATTACATCATTTAGCTGCTAATCATCAGCAATTTTACAACTGCCCTTCCAGAGGGACTAATGACTCTTTCCTCCTTAAAATATAACTCTCTTGGAGTTGCTATCAACATTTAAAGATGTTTCTTCAGTCATTTTGGCAAATGAATCATCTGTAGGTTGAATCCAGAGTGCCTCGGTGGCTTTAGCTCTGCAGGTCTGGCCTGAGGTGTTCAGCGTCACAGCGTATTTAAAATATAATGACAACGACTGTACGTGAGCTTTAACCCTTCAGTCCACTGCACAGTTCACACCTTATTTCAACAGACACCTGGCTGCTGTTTTGCTCCCTACTGATAACAAGCAAACTGATATGAGCAGTAAATCTGAGCAGTTTTTAATTTTATTCTACAATTATTGTGCTTTTTTCTCCCCATTTCTTTATAATTCTGCACTCCTCCTTAAAATCCTGCCACAATAAAATCTGACCTTGAATAATGAATAAAATCAAATGTAGGTGGATTTTCGACACAAGGCCTTAAAAAATAAGACACAATGGATGCATTTGCACCTGAACGACCTCATCACTGCAGCTTATAAAATGTTTTAGGCTTTTACAAGACGAACAATTCCCAAACAAACAAGCAAACAGTCAGACAAATTGAAAGTGGGGCGTTCAGGGCCCACGGGGGCTGTAGGGCAGCTCGGCTTGAAGCTTGTCTAAAATAATCCCACAGGTTCACAATCTAAACATAGTGAAGTGTAACATAAAAAAACAACAAACAAACAAAACAAACAAAAAAAACACTTTAAAAAAATGTATTGAACTAACGATATAAAGTCTGTTAAACATCCACCTGCAGGCTGCTAGTTTGAGGCCTGCTTCAGTAAAGCAGCAAAATGCATGAAGCTCAAAGAGAAGAATTTTGAGAACCAAAGGAGAAAAAATGCAGAAACATAAGAAGAAAGCATAAAACACATTTATTCCCTCACAACACGATCATTTACAGATTGATTATCCCTTTGACATGGTTCATATTTTTAAAATAGCTTTAATGAAAAACTCTATTTTTTTTCTCCATGAAATCCAAACTGCTTGATTTAGAAAAACTTTGACATGTAAAAAAAAATTAAACTCTTATTTATTGTATGAGTCATATTTACATTTACTCTCACGTCTTTCACTGTACTTTATATCCTGCTTCATATTATTATTTAGAGCAGTATTCCAGCATTTAGTCGCTCATTTGATTGTTTTATTGTGTTCCCTCATTTTTTTTTCAGCTTTTGAAATAGAAATCCAGCACAAATAACCAGATATATTACAAAAGCATTTTTAATCTTCTTCACTAGTGGGTTCACTGAAAACTATTTTTAAAAGCAGAATTAATTGTAGCGTCATGATCAGCAGGATTTCGTTCCACAGGTTCAGCTAAACAGAGCAGCTCTTTAATTTTGGAAAACGTTCAGTGAACAATAAAATGAATAAATGTTTGGTTCTGTAAATATAGAACAATATTCTGTGTTTTGTATATTTTTTTTAGAAGGATAAAAGTAATTTATTATTATGTCTTTTAATTGTTTTTATTTGATCAAAGGCAGATTCAGCTTCAGTCACTCGTGATTTTTACGCGGTGTGTGCGCGTGTTTGGTTGGAAAATTCAGACTTTAATTTTATTATCTGTTTTTTTTGGTAAATTGTCAAACGAAAATTCTGTTATATTTATAATGGAAAATGAAATTTTAAAGAGAGGAAAATAAAGAATAAAGAGACGTGGACGAGCTGAAGTGGAGCGGACCAGAGGAACCAGGAAACGGAACCGACTGGAGCTAATGAGTATGATGAGCTCACTGCTGCTCAAACTGATATTCACTGATCGATAATACCGATCACACACACACACACACACACACACAGAGGAGCCGCAGCCAATTAGCGCCGCCGTTTGCTCGTTTTAACGCCAATTAAACAATCAGTCCAGTTTGTATTTTTCGTTCCTTTTTGACGAACTGCCGAAAACGAACATTTCAGAGCTGCTGTCAGAAGGACGCTGCAGCGACCAGGAGGCTTCAGAACTTTATCGTTCTGCCTCTCACAGGATTTTTTTTTTTCTTTTCAGGTTCCTATGTTTAAAAAATAAAATATATTTAAAAAAAAAAAAATCCTCCCAGAAATTAGACGGATCCCCAAAGAGCAGGAAGGTCCTGGAATTAAAACCACGTCTCTCAGATCACATCCAAAAAAAAAAAACAAACGCGCCGGTTCCGGTACCGACAGCAGCGGAGGAGGATTTACTGCCAAAACAAGTGAATGTGCTGCGTTTAATTCATATAGAAGATTTTTAAAAGTTAGTTTAGAAAATTAAGAAATAAAAAGTGAAACGCTGCAAACTGATCGGAGGGAATAAAAGAAAAATGGAAAATCACATGAAACGGAAATGTCGTTTTTATTATTATTATTATTATTATTATTATTATTGAATACATCACGTGTACAGAAACCGGAGCATTAAACGAACAACACTCGGTTCGTCGGTACTCACTGCTCTGGTAGTCCTCCGCTCCATAGCAGCCCTTCCCGGTCTCCGGTCCAGGCTCGCGCTCCCCGCCTCCTCCTCCTCCTCCTCTCCGGTTCTCGGCTCCGCACGCGCTCAGCTCGCGCTCTCCCCGGTGGCTCGCGTGCTGCTGCTGCTTCCGGCTGCTCGTGAACTTGTTGGGGTCCAGGATGTCCAGGACGGAGAACGAGGTGGTCCGGTGCCCGGAGCCGGGGCCCTGCAACGGCAGCGGAGGTTCTCACTCACCGGCTCGTGTCT